AGCTCGACTGTGGCTCCGGAGTATTGTGTTATCATTTTGTGTGTACTTCGTACTCAAGCCTAATGGGTAACATCTGCAGGAAGGCTGGCACGATGCATGCTAAGTGCCACGGTTGTGAGTACACGCCCCAGCTGTCGATGGCTGGAAGCATAGGTCGAGTCCCAAGTGACGAGTAGCTACTAAGCAGGCTGGTGGCAAGGGCCCCTAAGTGTGTACGGAGTTCCCATGTGGCAGGCCCATAGAGCAGTTACACAGGTAGCCACCTCACACGTTGCGCTTCACTATTCTCACGGAGCGGACCCCTGGCTCCCCTCGCCGATGCAGGAGAGCAATTATACCACTGACGTTGGGAGCTGGGGGCCCAATCCGCGACACACTGCGCCGATACTGCTCAAACTTCATGATTTCTCGAAGTAACTGACTTTGCATTTTAGCAAGTATAAAAATTATCATTTATTTAAATGACCTTATATAGGTGCTATCTGAAAGAGAATAATTTATTCTAATATCCATCAAAATTGGAAAGTTCAGTCACTTTTCTTCCTTGAGAAATCTGCAATTATTCTCAATGTGTCCCATTTTTTACCGTTCACCCTAATAACTATCACATCTAAGGTGATCGGCAATGCATTCGTATAGGATGGGTAGAGGACCTTAGGTCGCCGATAGGCTCCACCCATTTGGACAGCTAGGTTGAGGCATTAATGGTGAAGATGCGCGGCTTGTGGCAAATGTCCTCGCGCGACCTCCCCTTTCGGTAACCTGATGTCAGATACCCGTGTAGGACTCTATGTAGTCGCGAGAGTCGGTGACTTTGTGGCCATTGCGCGAACATTAATTTCTCAGTTATCTTTCCCATTTCAAGCGCTTTTCTGCTATCAGATTAAATTCAATCACCTGAAACAATTTTGAAAAGTTCGAGATCATTGAACGATTTCAGGCCTTGCAGCATCTTGCGTTTGCAGTGGCCCAACACTGGCTCTCGCTATGCAGAGCCCTTATGACAGTTGTCTTAGGATGCCTTCATACCGCGCCGGCAGCCGCCTCTAGCAGCCTGTAGCAGCCCACAGCAGCCGCCAGCAGCCCGTAGCCGCCGCTGGCCGCTTTTGTCGTACAAGCGCAAAATATCAAATTCTTACTATTTTAAGTGCAACAACCGCCCACGCCCTCCATCCGTCCATTGTTGTTATTACCTTGTTACCGTCGGTTGTATCCTATTGATCAGTTTCCCTCTCGCAATTAAACCACATTTTGCCAAAGTTTCTTCGCAATGTGATTTCTTCTGACTTTGGATGCGTCCAGTTCCTGCAGGTTGCTATCTGTTAATTTTCAAGGTGTCTGCATCAATCATATCACATCGGCGTGGAAGATGGAAAGCACAGGTGCGATAGTGTAAGAATTTTCTCACCCTCCCTTCACCCCTGAGCCGGGACCAAGATGACCCCCTTCACCAAAAGCCGAGAAAAATAATAAACAGTGAGGTAAGGTCAAGCAAAGAAGATATTTGTACGTGAATTGTTTATGTATAGGAAAGGAGGAGTCTGTTAAAAAAAGGGCTTGCTTGGTGACGGGTGTGAGTAATGATTTCTGGTGATTTTCGAGTTTTCAACATTAAAAATTCATAACTTCTGTAGCTGAACATCTTGTACGCCTTGATGGTCACCATTGAAACCGTTCCGTCCTCCGCTGTCAGGAAATATATAGAAAGTTTGATATCCATTCAAGAAAGTGCATTGAACGGTTTGCCTACTGATTTCTGAGGATTTTCGATTTTTTGAAATAAATAAATTAATAACTTCTGCTGATGAACATATTGTACGCCGATATGGTCGCCGTTGGAACCGTCTCATCCTCCGCCTTCAGAATATACAGTGCCGCCAAAAAGTTGCGGACAAGCCTCCCTCCCTTTTTCATCGCTCTTTTTCAGAAGGAAAACAAGGATAAAAAATGTAGTGATTGCATGAGGTGATAGAGCTCTTCAAGATCTACTATCTACACTTTGCGTTTTTCGAAAAACATGTATTCTAAACCGAAAATGGCCGCGTCACGATGTCGCGGACAATAATTCTTCGAACGCGAAAATTTCCCTTTGGGTCCTATTTTCAAGTGAAAACACAAGTAGTCCGAAGAGGTAAGCATACTACATTATAGAGCTCATCGAGGACAATAATCAGGTAGTGGTTATATCCAAAAAAAAGCCAAACTTGAATTTTATTTTGCTTTTTTTCAAAAAATAACTTCCAATTCCCTTTTTCAGGCCAAATTTCTTCACATGTAAACCTATTCAAGACATCCTGACAAAGCTGTTCGACTAAAATGGATGCATTTGCCATCCTATATGCATCGGACGTGTGTTGGTGAGTTTCTTTGCTGAAAATGGCTCTTGACAGTGCATGCACATAACCCCATCTGCACCTCACCGCTGACAGGCACGGCTTTGCAGGCTTGTAGCTCGGCCAGCAGTCATTCTACAAGCCTGCAAGTAGGCTCATTCGAAAGAGCGTGACTTTCTCTACACGCTGGTATGCAAATGAGTTCAGTTTCAGGAATAACAGAGATTTGGCGGATGGGGTGACAGAGCGCAGCTTCTGTGGTATGGTAAGGATTTTTCAGCAGAAGTTGAGCAAAGCTGCTTTCGCTACTAGTTCCATTCTGGAAGTTCAAAACCGTCAATTTATATGTAATAGATCCATTTCGGAGCTCTAAGACTGTTCTGGCGTTGATAAGAGCCTTCACTCCAATCACTTCTAAGGCTGCGCTCTGTCACCCCATCCGCCAAATCTCTGTTATTCCTGAAACTGAACTCATTTGCATACCAGCGTGTAGAGAAAGTCACGCTCTTTCGAATGAGCCTAATTGCAGGCTCACACATTGACTGCAGGCCGAGCTACAAGCCTGCAAAGCGGTACAAGTCAGTGGTGAGGTGCAGGTGGGGTCATGTGCAAGCACTGTCAAGAGCCATTTTCAGCAAAGAAACTCACCAACACACGTCCAATGCATACAGGATGGCAAAAAGCATCCATTTTAGTCGAACAGCTTTGTTAGGATGTCTTGAATGGGTTTACATGTGAAGAAATTTGGCTTGAAAAAGGGAATTAGAAGTTATTTCCTGAAAAAAAGCAAAATAAAACTCAAGTTTGGGGGTTTTTTTGGAAATAACCACTACCTGATTATTGTCCTCGATGAGTCTATAATGTAGTAATGCTTACCTATTCGAATTACTTGTGTGTCCACTTGAAAATAGGACCCAAAAGGAAATTTTCGCGTTCGAAGAATTATTGTCCGCGACATTGTGACGCGGCCATTTTCGGACTCGTCTTAGAAAAAGATTTTTAAAATTTTTAAAATGCATGTTTTCCAGAAAGCACAATGTGTGGGTTGTAGCTCTTGAAGAGCTCTATCACGTCATGCAATCCAAACATTTTTTCACCTTCGTTTTCTATCCGAAATGAGCGATGAAAAAAGGAAGGCGGCTCGTCCGCAACTTCCTGGCGGTCACTGTATATAACAGTGCCTGGGTGAAGGGTGTTCTAGTGATTCTTGGAGATTTTCGAGTTTTTAACATAAAAAATTCATAACTTCTGCAGATGAACATCTTGTATGCCGAGATGGTCACCATTAGAAGCGCCTCGTCCTCCGCTTTCAGAAAATGTATACTTTGTCTGGGGTCCGTTAGAAAAAATGCCGGGTAAAGGGTGGGTGAGACTTTTATAATGGGTTTGCTCAAGTACAGGCTTTTTTACCATTGTAAAAAGACGTCTACTTGAGCACTCCCATTATAAAAGTCTCACCCACCCTTCACCCGGCATTTTTTCTAACGGACCCCAGACAAAGTATATATTTTCTGAAAGCGGAGGACGAGGCGCTTCTAACGGTGACCATCTCGGCATACAAGATGTTCATCTACAGAAGTTATAAATTTTTTTATGTTAAAAACTCGAAAATCTACAAAAATCACTAGGACACCCTTCACCCAGGCACTTTTTTCAACGGACCCCAGGCAAAGTATATATTTTCTGAAAGAGGACGAGGCGCTTCTAATGGTGACCATCTTGGCGTACAAGATGTTCATCTACAGAAGTTACGGATTTTTCTAACCTAAAAACTCGTAAATATCCAGAAATCACTACCCACACTCTTCACCAGACACTTTTTCAATAGGCTCCAGGCAAGCTATATATTCTCTGAAAGCGGAAGACAAGATAGTTGTAAAAACCTTTTCAGTGCTGACGTTGCTGTTCATCTACAGAAATTACGAATTTCTTCTAAAAATTCGTAAATGCTTAAAAATTGTATCTCTTTCCCGAAACAGATGCTCTCGCAAACACATCTTCTATGGTATTTTTAAAAACATATAGAGCTGTTCCAATACTATCAGTTTTCACATTTTGGTAAAAAGACAACCAATGATGGCAGAGAATTCAATACGATAAACTTTTATTTGGAAAATAAGAAAACGCCATCAATTCTCCTCTCCCCCCCCCCCCGGTCGGCATTTTATGATTTCTCGATCAACACACCCTTCACCCTGGAGGGACTGCGACCACTGTGACCCCCTTCACCCTGGAGGAGTCATTCTCACCTTATCGCACCTGTGATGGAAAGTATGGGCAGACGCACGCAAAGTACTGAAAAATTGATGATATGCGCTTCTATGACAAAAGCGGCCGCGGCGGCTAAGGGCTGCTGATGGCTGCTACGGGCTGCCAGCGGCGGCTGCCGGCGCGGCCGCTGGCGGTGTGAAGGCACCCTTATTGAAAAAATCGCGAAGTGATGAAATCGCATGAAGTATAGGCTGCTGCATGACGAAGGCGCATTATCTTTGGGCGCAAACGTGGCTTTATTAGCCGCGGAGAGCATATGGTGCAATATTACAACCATAAAGATACGCGCGCGTCGCGACCGCGCCTGCTCAGCTAGTACTTGTAAAGTGCAGAGCTTCTGCACTTTCGTTCCGTACTAGGCTTTATGCTCGTACCTTCAAGAGGGGAAGAACGCACCTGCGAGACGTTTTTTGCATATAGCATGGTATTTTCATCACCGTTGTTGTCCTGTGAGTAGTAGATAACGTCCGGTAAAGCAGTAAACCCATAATCTGATAACGGGACAATATTCTTCTAAACTACTACGCAGTCTAGTAGATTATCCGCTTAATATAATGTTTGCTCGGCCGAAACTGGTTCAGCAAATTTGCGCATGCACAAGTGGCTACACCTGCAATGCCTGGTATTTTGCCGCGCAAATGCCGACCATTATATGGTCGGCATTATGCATATTATTTATTCGTCCATTCTCGGCACCATAAGAACACCGTATTACACAAAAAACCTAGTAGACTGTACACTACACTCATACCCAGTACAGAGTTTTTAGGTTCGAAAGTCACTTGACGAGTGGGGCCAGAAGGTAAATTTCGGAAGAACACATTTCCAACATTGTTCTTGTCTCGTTGAATGAACGCTAGATACCTGTGAAATTAGAAACAATTGAGCGTCAGTTAGGCATTGAAAAAATCAAGAGAAATTCACTTGCCGTCCGGGCTTAGTTTGAGACTGGAATATCCTGGCGGTGAAAAAATTACATGTCTAGGAATGATTTCAGCTGTCACTATAGGCAAAAGTGATAGAAACAGCATCCGTGAAGTCGACTACGTGCTAGTGCACAAACACACGATAGAAAATACATCTTATAACATCAACTGCTCTATGGTTAGGGATGATACAAGAAAAGTAAGCAGACGTTGCTCAACTGATCTCTTAAATTGACTTTGCCTAGTCATAAACGCAAAACTCTGCCGCATGTGTGAGTATTACACTATACATTCGACTCACTGAAAAACAGGCCGTCACAGAATTTTCTTTTGTCTCTACATCTCAATCAAAGAACATGTAGATGAACGTGTTGAAAACATGGCTTCCCATATCATCACAACCAAGAGGACGACGACAGGGGTGCAACTCATACGTAAATATTTGCATGCTTCGCAAAAAAAAGTTTTTCTGATACCACTTCCCATGAGCAGTCTCAAAGTGAACTCTCAGCAAGCAAATAAAAAACGACTTTAGTCAACCTAATACTAACGATGAAATTTTCTGCCAACTCGAACGTTGAAGTGTTTACGCTGTTTTGGCAAAGTAAAAAAGCCAAAAAGTGCAATAAGTTGCGTTTCAAAAGTATGGTAACGGCACGAAACAGAAGGCGTTATATGCGATTCTCGTGGCCAAGTTTTTTCTTGGTGAAGCTGTTTCTTAGAGACTATGAATTTCAGCGAAAGCGCTCGTCAAACTGTTTACTTGAAAGATGTGAAGTGAGGAAAACAATGATCATGCACGATGTATAAAGATTCCCCTACCTACAAGCTATCCGTTCACCGTTGACCGAGATAGACCCAGGATCCTACTATAATAATGCGCTAAGAGTGTTTACGTGTTTTTGTGTGTGTGTTTGTCTGAATGTCTGTCTGTCACGAAATTCGTAGAGTGTGTTCCAGCCAACGTCCTGGGCTCAAATTTTGCATAGCACTTGCTACTGGCATGAAAGTCCAACATGCAAAAGCACAAGCAGATTCATTGAGTGGGTCTCTTGAAAATTGCGCGTCAAACGGGTCCACTTTGCATTTGGCCCACAAAATTGGGTCCGTAATTCCACTTTTTGCAGAGTGGTGGGTGCTTAAGGCAAGTAAATTTCAAGCTATGAACTTAGGTACAAATGAGTGACCAAAAGTCCATTACTTTACAAAAACGGCGCCAAAAAGTATTGCTTGCGTAAATGGTCAGTTTACCAAGGTTCTAGAAAAGCATTTGAGAAGATTTTCGCACAGAGATGTGGCTTACGGTGACTATTGCCTTTATGGCGACTGTCAAACCATGACAAATTCAAAAATATTCAAATTTGCCTTTGTCTTGCTGCGAAAAGTTTTTTCCATGCGAAATCACCGATCTCACGTGAAAAAGCTTTCTAAATGAGTAGCTGTTTACATTTCATTCGTGGTAGTCGGCATAGCACGGTGAGTTTCAATGTCACTATTATGCGGAAATGAATAAGGCATACAAAAAGTAGGGGCGAGTGCGAGCCTCTGCGAAGCAGAGGTGACGCGCTGGTCTTTAATAAGAGTAAAAAAATAACTGCATATGCATGTATTTAAGCGCATTGAACGTGATTGAACATTGCTATAATAAATGTTTTGATGATAAATGGCTCTCATTAGACTATTATTTTACCTACCTAAATATCTTTTATCACGACAAACTATCCTGCTGCCGAGGCTTCTCCAAAATCGCGTCTGTCTTAAGCAAGGGGCACCTCGCTCCTTTCGCACACAAACTGTCTTTCCTCTGGCCTTCTATCGCGCAATTGCGCGAAGGGGGTTGAGCCAGAGTGCGCGGCGTACGGGCGTACGTAACGTATTGGGTTGTTTCATACTGCCGCACTGACTGCAGCAGTCTGCACTGACTGCAGCAGACTGCAGCAGACTGCAGCTGACCGCACTGACCGCAACGACTGCAGCGGCTGAAGCCTGCAGGCGGAGAGGTTAAATAGTTGTGGTTTGAACAAACAACAACAATATATACGTAAAAGCAAAAGACAACAAGGTTTAGAATGTTACAAAACAGGTATATGCAATGAGAGAAAGAATTAGAACAAATACGAACATACCGAAGAAAACTATCGCCAAAATTTGATTGAGAAGAATTCTGATGGAACTTATAATATTCTTAAGCGTAAATCACGCTGTTTTGATAATCGCGGTTGTTTTTCTTTTACGAAAGGAGGAGCGACCGATGCGGTCAGTGCGGTCAGTCGCAGTCAGCTGCAGTCTGCTGCAGTCTGCTGCAGTCAGTGCAGTCAGCTGCAGTCTGCTGCAGTCAGTGCGGCAGTCTGAAACAACCCTATGCAGCGTACGCTCGGTATATTTCATCATAGGAGCGTACGCCGCGCAGTCTGGCTCAGCCCTTACGCGTAGATTCTCATGACTCTCATCCAGCCTTGCATGACACCTCTAAACTTGATCATTACAATAGAAACCAACTAAGGCGATTATGTACAAACTTACTCTTAGTTTTCTTTGCACGTGTGTCTTCGTATCTAAATTTCCTCTTAGGCGCCATGTGTGCCAAGGGCCGCCCAAAACAAACATTATCACAAACTGCAAACGACAACATTGCAAATGAATACATGCGCGCACGAGAAATCTTTTGCAAAAATACATTCCGTCTGAGACCATGTCAACTAAAAGAACAAACTAAAAGGATTATCCACGGCAATCTTACTCAACAAGAGGAGAAAACAACAAAAACTTTCTGAAAATGAGCGTGAACATTTTGAGATTTTGATATGGAAAGTTACTTACATCCCAAACATCAGAACAGAGCAAGTCCGAGCGCACTACATGCTGCCCCTGCCTAGAAAACTAACCCTAAACCCGTGCGCGCAAGCCATTCTTACATGCGCTCGGACGAGCTTGGGTCCCACTCCCACCGTTAGAGGCGGCATGCCGCAATGCTATGACCATGAAGGTCCCCAACGACTCTACGTCTCTAACCATGGCGGGGAGTGATCCACTCGTCCAAATTCGAAATGAGAACCCTTGGAAAATGCTAGTTTTCAATATTTTCGTGCTCTTCAAAGCGTATTTTCCAAATCAGCGCGTCGCATTATCTCAGATAAACGAAAAAACTTCAGGTCGAGAATTTGCCGAGCCACTGCCTTTAACAAAGAGGCAAGTATAAACAAGGAGCTTTGAAATGATGAGATAGAACAAAACAGAGCAACTGCAGCGTAGGAGGACGAGAGAAAGGGGATAGCGCTCGAGTAACAGCTTAAAACTTTTATAACATTATAATATATCAAAAACGAAGATGAGGCACCAATGAACCCAGAAAGTGACGCTAGTTCAAACTGCCAGTCTTGCTTGCCTGCACATCTAACGTTTCGAGTGCGCATCAACAGGGTCTCGAGAGGGCAACGATATGGTTTTTAGTTGGCAGCCACAATACAGCGTTACTAATCAAGGCTGCCGTCTCATAGCATGATGCGGCCCGCTCCATTCCCTCCCCATCGTCTCCCGGTGCTGCCTGTTGTCGCCTTTTGGCTGCTTTTGTAACAATGAATGCGCTTTGCAGCTATTTTCTGACTCATGGAAAATTATAGCTGCCCGCTGTTAGCCTGTCGCTGCCCGCTCACCTCCATTTTTGCAGTACCGTCACTTGTTTACTTTCGCAGTATCGCCGCCTCGTCATAGCCTTTGTTTGTCTGAGAGCAGCCGTTGCATGCAACCGTTGCCGGCAACCTACGGCAGTTCCCTCGTTCTCAGATAATGACAAGATTTTAGAAACAATCACGACATGCCTAATTTTCGTTCAACATGTCTCACACGTCGACCAGTTGAAAAGATATTTATTTATTTATTTATTCATTACACGCATAGGTGCACCAATAAAGAGAAAGAAAAAAAATGCAGAAACGTGATGTAATCTGGCACAGTTTGTTGTGTCCGTTTCAATACTGGAATGTGCAGGTCGTTCTCCTTCGCCAGAGGGTGAGGACTTCTCGACCGAGTTCCTGGTTCCTTACCCAAACGCATAGGATGTCTGTAAAAGTTACCAGGGCTTGGCTGACCAACTTAACCCGTAACGGACAAATCCGTTGAGGACCCTGGGCGAGCGGGAAGGGGGACCTCAAGGAGGAGAGTTCACTGGATCTTCGGATTCCTCGAACGGCTATTCCAAGCAAAGTATATCAGAAGCCTTCAAAAAGTATCAGATAATAGGCCCAAAAATATGGACACCAATCTTGGTTTCAATCTTATCCGAAAGTTCCTCTCTTGAGATAAACAAGAAAGGGAAATTGAAGTAATTCTTGTTCAAAGTCGGAAAAAGGAACCAAAATCGCATTCAAAAAACTGAAAAAAAATGAATACTGCTACGGCAAATTTGTGACATCAAACATCCGAAATTCCTAAAGCCTCGAGGACATTTATTGATGCCAACCTCTTCCGAAACTCTGCTGAGGTGGCACAAGCAGTAATATCACTCGGCAAAAGTCTAAGCCACCTTCCAGTTCGACATACAAACGAATTGAAAGTGATGGCGATAATTTTACTTCCCAGTTTACGGTATCCTAGAGCGAAGCCACCTGTTCGAGTTCCATGGGGTCTAAACAACTTGCTTGGCTTCAGCTTTGTCTCTAGTCTTAAAATTCGGAAACAAAAAATCAAATCATCGCATACTCTTCGATATCTCAAGCTACGCAGCCTCAAGGTATTCAGCCTTGATTTGTAGGACGTAAAGCTTGAGGATAGTCAGGACAGGGATAACATCTGTAGTAAACGATTCTAGTGAACGTTTTTTGCACTGCTTCAAGCTTTTCAATGTCTTTCTTCAAAAAAGGGCTCCACACTGGTGAAGCATATTCTAAAAGTGGAAGGATGTAAGTGTTATATAGCTTCACTAAGAGCATGGGATCGTTACTGTGAACACTTCTTAGTATGATGAACAGAACTGACAGCGCTTTTTTGGCTATCGACTCACAGGAGGAGTGAATTTGAGCTGATCATCTACCAAAATACCCAGATCCTTAGTGATTTTACAGAGCTCGAGTTCAGCACCATCACATGTATAGGTATAAGGTTGGGACTTGCCTAAATGCAAGATCTTAGATTTTTGAGCGTTCACAGGTA